TGCTAAATGGTATTCGTTTCACCTACATACACGCACGCACACGCATCCAAGCATACACACACACACACACACACACACACACATACACACATACATGCTGGGAGATAGAAATATGTACAGACAAACAGACAGACAGACTGACATACAATCTATCTTTGTTATTGTGTGTCAATTTTGCTTTTAAAGGTTTCACTCACTTGTAAACATCTGTTTTTCTTTAAAAAAAAGGAAAAATTAATAAATTAGCGAAAACAAAACAAAAAATTATTTTTTTGCCTCCATGGAATTCTATGTCATGGACGAGCATAATTGTGAAGGCAATCATTGATGGATAAAAGCATTTGTGTATACAGGTCTTTGTATGCTTGTATATGTGCGTGTATGTATTTATTAGCGTATGTGTGTGTGTATGAGCATGTGTTTGCATGCATTCTTGTTTTTTTTCTGGATGAACGCATGCAGGTCTGTTCAAGTTCTATGAAAAAATGAAACATTCTCAAGACATTTAAACGTATAGATACATAGAGATGCATAGAAATACATACATACATAAACACAGACACTCACACATACGCACACGCACGCACACACATACGTAGAAGCTTGCCCATGAAGGCAATGCAAATTGGACATTACAATTTCGTAACATACATAGATAGATTTCCAATGATATTAATCTAGTGACACAGTTCTACTCTTGCACCAATTTATTTTTACAGGATTTTTATGCTTAGGTTTGTTGTTCGTTTGTTTGTTTGTTTGTTTGTATGTATGTTTGTAAATTTGTATGCGTGTAGGTCTGTATCGATGCAGATTTGAAAATTTATGAGTGTATCAATGTACGAATGGGATTTGTAATTGTATTTATGTTTGCCTTTATTTGTTTGTGGTGTGTGTATGTTTGTGTGTGCGCTAGTTGTGTGTGTACGTGTTTGTATGTGTGTTTGTGTGTTGCTCTGTGTAAATCTATTTTTACTTGGAGTTGTTTTTGTGTGTTTGTATTTTGAACTGAAGCGTGCCAAACCAAAAACTTGCACTCCTTACGCAAGCACTCAACTCAGCAAATAGGTAAAGACAAACAGATACAAAAAAAAACATACAAACACATACAAAAACATACAAGCACATACCACATACAAACTTTGTATATGCATACGCACGACAAACAAACCAATAATGAATGATACATGCACTCGGCTATCGAACAAGATGCAGAAATTGATTCAAGAAGAATATATCTGTGTGTGTGTGTGTGTGTGTGTATGTGTGTGTGTGTGTTTGTATGTATGTGTGTGTGTATGTTTGTATGTATGTATATGAATCAGGAGATATTTCAAAATTTCGAATCGGAAACCAAAATGAAGAGCATTAAAATTTCTAAATAACCCGGAAAATCAACACACTCCTTTCCGAGTGAATTACACGGCGAACATGACGTGTTTGATAGATGCATTGTATTAAATAACTAGATTGCTAGGTATAGGTACATAGATACGATATTATTCACTATATACACAGATAGAGATGGTAGAACGGTATAGTGTAATGGTTAAGGCGCTTGGTCTTACTGTTGTAGTTACCAAGTTTGATTGCAAAGAGATCTCTGTAAATTATATACCTTCAAAATGATATATAATGATCAATATATTCAATAAATTGCATTTAAAAATTTAGTGATGAAAAATTTATTAACATAAAACCGACATTATATTAGCACCAACATAATAAGATGCGTTTCGCAAAGCCTTAACCAACGTGCATTCGTTTACGCTATCTGGATATTATGGGTTCTTTTTTTAGAATTAGGTAAGAATTTTAAAATGCATACAAAATAACGCCAGTACACACATTTAAATGTACACAATCATACGCGTGCATACACACGCATGCACGTACGCACATTCATACGTGCAAGCGAAATTTCGTGAATGGATCATCATTCATTGGATCCAAACACATTTTATTGAATTATATTGATCCAAAGACCAGAAATAATAATAATGTTTCTTTTAAATTTATCCAACTTTTTTTATTCATTCATTTGTATTCAAACATTATATTATACGAGTGCTGATGTGAATGCAAATTTTTCACAATAATATGTATGTATGTATGTATGTATGTATGTAAGTATGTATGTATGTATGTATGTATATATGTATGTATGTATAATGTAAGTATACTTATGTATATCTGTATGTGTGTGTGTATGTGTGTGTGTGCTTATATGCGTATGAGTGTATATGTGTGTGTGTATGTGTGTGTGTGTATGTGTGTGTGTGTGTTTTTATATATGTGTGTGTATTACCTAGATGTATAAATAAATATATAGTTATTTATTTTTTTAATACATATTTTGACAACTATTGCATAATAGTATGTAAATTAGAGGCGTAAATATCAATGTTGTTGTCGGTTGTGGTGGTGATGACGATGATGACGACGACGATGATGATGACGACAACGACGATGATGATAATGATGAAGGAAGTAAAGTTGATAGAGAGAAAAAGCTGATAACGATGTTGTTGATGATCTAGTTTTTATCTCAAATGGTTTGATTGACGAAGGTAAGGCTCATTTAAAACGAATAAATCAATTTTCTCATCCGAACATATGGACACTCGTTGATGGCTAACACGTGTGTGTATGTCCGTCTGTCTGTCTGTCCGTCTGTCTGTTTTTCTGTTTGTCTGTCTGTCGGACTGTCTGTTTGTATGTCCGTTTGTTTGTCTGTGTGTTTTTACACATCCACAGGCTATCCATCAAATTCTAAGAAAACAATCTTCGTTCACTTGCTTATC